AACAGCCCCAAACAGCCCCAAACAGCCCCAAACAGCCCCAAACAGCCACAAACAGCCACAAACAGCCACAAACAGCCACAAACAGCCACAAATAATCCCAAATAAACCCGAATAAACCCAAATAGCCCTAAACAGCCCCAAATAGCACCAAATAACCTCAAATAATCCCAAATAAACCTGAATAATCCCAAATAAACCCGAATAAACCCAGATAAACCCGAATAAACCCAAATAGCCCTAAACAGCCCCAAATAGCACTAAATAACCGCGAATAATCCCAAATAAACCTGAATAAACCCCAAATAAACCCAAATAAACCCAAATAAACCAAATAGCCCTAAACAGCCCCAAATAGCACCAAATAACCTCAAATAATCCCAAATAAACCCGAATAAACCCAAATAGCCCCAAACAGCCCCAAATAGCACCAAATAACCACGAATAATCCCAAATAAGCCCAAACAGCCTCAAACAGCCCCAAATAATCCCAAATAAACCCGAATAAACCCGAATAAACCCAAATAAACCCAAATAAACCCAAATAGTCCTAAACAGCCCCAAATAGCACCAAATAACCGCAAATAATCCCAAATAAACCCGAATAAACCCAAATAGCCCCAAACAGCCCCAAATAGCACCAAATAACCTCAAATAATCCCAAATAAACCCGAATAAACCCAAACAGCCCCAAACAACCCCAAATCACCCCAAACGGCCCCAAACTGCCCCAAAAAGCCCCCAAAAAGCCCCAAACAGCCCCAAATCGCCCTGCCCACAAGAGCGGCACCACCCACCGGGTCCATCACTGGGGTGATGAGCAACGCGGGGCCCCACAGGAACTGCTTGTCCACATCCCACGTGGCTTCATCCGAGTAAAACCTGCGCCAACGAGAGGGGCTCATGGCTGCTAATTGCAATCAGCGCCGCTGCCACGGGGCGCCTGCGGCCGGAGGGACGCCGGGTCGCTCAAAAGCCCCAACCAACGCTTCGCCCCCCCTCCAAAAAACACCAAACCAACCCCGATTTCCCCCTTTTTGCTTTTTTAGGAACGCGCCGCTTGATCCGGAAGCGCTGAGGATTTGGGTGTTTGTAAGGAAGGGGCCCTGAGTGCAGGAAGGACGCGGAGGCCCCAGCGTGCGGAGAAGGGCGGCGAGGCTGGCGAGGGGTGCGGAGCGCGGGGCTGCTGAGCAGCGGCTGGGGGAGCTGGGGGTGTTCAGCGTGGACGAGAGGAGCTCAGGGGAGATGATGGCGCTCTGCAGCCTCCTGGAGGAGGTCGGGGTGCAGAGGGGTTCGGCCTCCGCTCCAGGCAGCGAGCGGCACATGGGAAAATGGCCGCTGCTGCACCTGGTGGCCTGACAGGGAGTTGGCAGCATTGGGAATCTGGGATTCTGGGATTCGATCTCGTGGGATCTCAGTGGGATCTCAGTGGGATCCTAATGAGATTTCAACGGGATCTCAGTGGGATTTCAATGGGATTTCAATGGGATCTCAGTGGGATCTCAGTGGGAT